GTATGCAAGCCACCGTAATGGCGGTCGCCGTCGGCGAAATGTTTATTTGCTCAAAATTGGGGCAATATCTTTCGGAGATGGAAATTAGGACATTTGTAAGGACACAGAAAGTAATTTGGGACCAGTTGCTGGCTTCTAAGGGCGGGGTCGCACTACTGTGAAAATCCTAATTTGGACGGACCAAAAATTTCAAAATTTGAAACCGCAAACGGAAAAGCCAAAATTGTAATAAATTTGTTTGGGTCGCATATGTGAAGTTCATTTCTGATAAAGTAATCTGATAACTCGATCAGATTTCATATTTCCCCCGAACCGTCCATAAACATGGACCAAAATCAGATTATCGGCGTTTTCTTCACTATTGCAGTTTTTCTTCTTCAGACTATTAGCATCCAGCAGCAGCAAGCGTTTACTTTTTTTATACTGTATCAGAGACGGGTGTTTGAATACAGGACACTCTTGAATGTTGCCTATTTAAGGAGAAGAAGAAGACACTTGTGTAGAATGCGTGTTGCACCCTACGCATGGAATCTTCCGCGAACGCAGATTAATGGTTCGACATCCACTACAACGACCCCTTAATTCCACAGGAATACTTTCGGCAACAGTTACGACTAAACAAGGCCACTTTTGTAGTGATTCGTAATATCCTGGGTCCGAGATTACAAAGGCAAAATTCGAAATTCAGAGATTGTTTACCGCCCGAGAAAGTTCTTGCTTTGGGACTGTATCGCTTCGCTCACGGAAATTCGTATTTGACCACTGCACCAGTGTTTAATGTGGGAAAATCGACTGTAATTGAGGCAGTGCAAGATGTCGTAAATGGTCTCTACGAAGTGCGCAACGAACACATCAAATGTCCGGAGACAATTGCTGAAGTAAATGCAGCTATGCAGACATGTACAAATCTCACAAATCTGCCCAATGTTGTGGGTGCTATAGATGGGTCACATGTGCGAATAAAGGCGCCAGTGAACAGTGCTGTGGATTACTCTAGTAGATATCAACAGCATGATTTCATTATCCAGGCTGTTGTTGATAGCTAAAAGATATTTCTTGATTTTGCTTGTGGATTTCCCGGAAGCATGCACGACGCTCGTGTTTTACGGCGCAGTACGTTGTTTAGGAGAGCGGAACACGGGGATATTCTTACAGCACCAGCAACGCTTATCAATGGCCGTGAAATACGTCCTTATCTACTAGGAGATAGTGCCTACCCTCTCTGCCCTTGGTTAATGAAGCCTTACCCTGAAGGCACAAGGGATCCTGACGAAATGAACTTTAACAGGCAGCTTTCTTCTGCCAGAGTTA